ATTTGTATTCTAGAGCGCTACTCTAAGTATCTTGCCAGTCTCCTCTAGTTGTTAGAAATAAATGCTAAAATACTTTTCATTAATATAGCCCAGAAGAACAATATCTTACTTCATGACCTGTGTCTGTTGCCCTGGAAGCAGCTGCTACCTAATAGTAGAGGTCCAGTACAGCAACTCATTTTCAAGAAGGTGGGGAGATTGTTTCTAAATAGAGGGCTGAATCAAGAATGGATTTTTCCAGACTGTCACTGCTGATAAAATGAGGTTTTCAATTACAATGCTTAGCACAGAGCAGCCTGCCCAAGGAAACCCATGTTCCAATGCCGCCAAGCGATATATGCTCAGCACTGCATTTGTCAAACCACTTCCTCTGCTAAGAGTTAATGTGTCAGTCTTGAAAACGGCTTGCTCTTCTACCACCTTTCGTGATGGAAACCAGAAAAGTGCAACTTACTTCCTTTCACAAAGCATTTTGTTGAGACTCTTGACTCCAAACTGACTGCCTCGTGGGGAAAACCTGCTTTCTAGAAACTTAAAAATGCTGACTGTTCCATCATAATTCTGCCTCAGTGGAGTAAGGAGGTCAAACAGGGAAACAATAATTATTAAAGTGTTAAGAGGTCATTGCTGGGTTTAAGGACAGTTCGAACATGCTTGAAGTCTGAATACTAATCTAAGCACTCGGGACTCTTTTGTTTTGGCTTTGATTACACTACCAGCAGATGATGACTGCAATAGACTCTGCTGTGATAAAAGCAAAAATCACTATCCTTTCTGTTGCAGACATAAACATGCAAAGAGCAAGTTTCACATGAAGACTGATCAAGAGCACATGAATAATTCCAGAAATGCATCCAAAGAGCAGCTTTCTGGATTAACTGCTGTAAATGCCAGCAAACAAACCCATCCACTGGTACCAATTGCACATCTCGGCTTTACCTCAGCTTAATCAAATCACTAATTATCTTACACAGATCCTGAGGAGCATCACAGGATTTGCGTTCTTCACAAGAGCTTAATTCACTGTGTTCTGTCAAACATTTATGTCTGTCTGCACTTATCTAAGTACATTGTAACCACTAAATCACACAATCCATCATCTCTTTGTCAGTATCCTATACCGAGAAGATCCTCTGAGAATACGCTTACAACATAAAGGTCACTCTGCAAGTTGACTAAAGGCATGAATAAAAAATAAAACATTTAGTTAAGCCCTTTGTGGAGATAAGGTTGCCATTACCCTTTATTATTTAAACAAGTTCTTCAACTACTTTTCAACACTATTGTGACATCACACTGAGAGTTTAATGGCAGCTCCTGAGTATATACAGAATCAAAGCCAAAACTGAGCTTACTAAAGTTTCAGAAAGTTACACAGCAGTGAGAGATTAAGAATCGTTATACACTTGGCAAACTGACCTATTTCCAAATGATGCTGTCACAGAATGATATGTGCAGTGGGCGTATTTTAGCCAACAAAAGCTAGCAAAGCGCCAAGAGCTGCTGAATTTCCTGTTAAGAATTAAGAGCCCCTCCACACACATTTTCCACTACAATATATGGCCCATCTTTTTGTCAGCACAAGTCTTCCCTGAAAAATTAGGGTTGAGAAAAAAATCACCGGCCACCGTTTCTCATGAAAAGCAAGGAAATTAAAGGAAATGAAAGAAGATACAACGTAAGAAGAGCTGATCTGAGGGTCCTACTGGTTAACGTGCTTCTGAAGCAAAGTGCAATTCCAGTTTTATACTTGGTGCGTGAGCACCATGTAAAATGGGAGTGTGAAAATGTAAAAGTATGCGAGACAAATGACATTTTATCTTTAGACATAGTCATCCCTCATGGGTGTCATGCCTACTTATCAATTAATCACTAGAGCATGAATATCTTAAGACAAGGCTAAAAATGAGGGGTAATTTTTCACGAAATATGCTTGAAACAGCCAGTACATTTCACAAAGGAAAGAAGAGGTTTGTGATCTATTTTGCAGTTGCTTCATAAGTGCAACCTCACAAAACCAGAATGGAGATCCCTGACACTAACTGCTGTGATGACTTCTGCCAGCCATCAGTAGAAACCTCAAGGTTTAGTGAGTGCATTGCCAAGACTCAGTGAGTTACCACTTCCTGGCTAAGTTAACAGCAACTGAGTAAATATGAAGTTCTAGCCATTGCAAACACCAAATAAAAAGTATTAGCATAAATCACGTAGTGAAATGTAACTTGATAAGCCTCTGAAACTTGGCACTTTCAACTCTATGGGCATGACCTCATTGTCTTAGCTAGTACAGACAATGTTAAACATGTAAATGAAGTAAAATCAATATTTCCTATCAGCTAGCAAAAGAAATGGGCATAGGGAGACAAATTCACCCTCTGGAGCTCAAAATTCATCTGCCACACAGATACGTAGGTCTGGTTTATGGAAGTCCACATCATCTTGTACGTGAAAGTAAACTTACTGATCTGATGGTCATCTGCTAATATATGTTCTATCCTCTCAGTGTTTTAAGTGAGGTTATCTAAACAGCATTCTATCCAATCACTCATTTAAATGTACTGTTTTGCCTCACAGTAAAAGTTAAGCTGTCTGGATCTATTAAATGTTGCAAGATATTTTTTTCTTTTGGCAGAATTATAAAAAAAACCTACCAAAAACTCAACAGCTTGATTTTCCTTAGTTATATACCTGCAGGGGAAAATACTACATTCACATCTCAACCTTGTGATTTGCTTAATGAGAAAAAAGACACACTGCTTGGACATAGGCTCTGAAAGAGAAAGGCAGTTGAAGAAAGTGTATAGCTGTTAGCAGGAAAAGACCAACATTTCATCACAAAAAGCAGTTTTGACTTCTTCTGCATGTACAGCTTATCTGCCTTTGTGTACAATAATGCTACTAAGACCTGTTACCTAGACCATGCCATTGCCTTTGAGTTTTAACACCTAAAACCAAATGCAAACAGAAAAATGTCTGTAGGAGGTGGCATCCTAGTAATTCTCAGATCATACATTTAGAGGAAACTGGAAATAAGGACAATATTTTTCAGCAGGAAAATCCACAAACTCTCTTTATAGGAGATGAAACAAGTAAAATGAGGAATCAAAGGAAGTTACTACTGGGATTCTAGCAAAATTATACAGATATTTTTATTATTTAAATATAAAATGCTGAAAATAAAAAATTGACATCTAATTATTAACATGTTCCTGTATTTGGTTCTCATTAAATTTTGAAAATTATGACATTTTAACGTAATAAGCTTCTAAGATCAAAGTTGAAGTCATGAATGAGCCACAGAAAGATCATCTGATTTTGATTTTTCTCCTTATTAATGATCAGAGTCTAATTTTGCTTACACTGTTAACTATACATGCTTCAAACATTTACTGTGGATAAAATAAAAACCGGCCTATTAACCAAAAAGACACTGTTATGCCTCAGCAAAGAACGAGGCATAACATATGTGGCTAATTTAGAACAAAGAACAACAGCTGAGGTAACTGATGAATTACAGAACCTTTTTGTCAATTTTGATTGCACAAGGAAAGTTGCCAGAGCAGTTTAATATACCCACAGTTATAAATGTTTATTTATTTTTTTATTATTGATACATAACAACAGTCCCCACACCCCCCAACCAAACTAAATGTAGGTCAAATTCTCAAAACTGCACTTCAATCCTTGAAACTTTGCTGTCTTCATGATGCCCTGAGTGGTCCCTCTGAGAAGGGCACGAGGGTCCCTAATCTACATTGCTCAGTAAACAGAAATATAACATTGACAATATAAAACGAAATTACGAAACATTATCAAGAAACCTAGATGCAGCTACACAATAGACTGTGGGGAAGGAATGGTCCAAGGAGATAGGCAGCTGTTTCCCTACACCATGTCTGTACTACAGAGTACTACTGGAAGAATGGTGTTGCAGCCTACTTAAATCTATGAATAAATCTGTCTTGAGAACATGTATTATACCATAAATATCAGGACACTTCTGAGACACAATTTTTGCAACCACTCTCCCATCTGTGATTCTTTTCACTTAAATTCTGTAAATGAAGAACAGCCTACAAAAGCCATTGCTGAATCACTTAGTTTCATATAGAAATTTACATCTCAGTTACTTAATTGGAATCTCCCAACCATCACTTGTGAATACCCGTCTCTGGTAATTTTGTTCAGACAGATACCATATAAAAGATTGTCAGAAATGCTTCTAAATTGTTAAAATATATTGTTTAAATAAAGGGGAAATGCAAAAACTAACTTTCCAATCCAAAAGTTGTATTGTTGTTGTATTACCTACTGCTCCTAAGAAGACAACAGCAAGATTGCTGTTAAGACACCTAAAAATCCATCTAAAGTTTTACTGTGGACTGGTAAAATGAAGATTTTTACTTAAAATAAATATTTCAATTCAGTGTGTCATTGAAGACATTATTTCATAAACAAATGCTTAACATTTGCACATGGAATTTTGCATTAAAATGGAGAAGCCCCAGCACACAGCTTATTTTTTCCATTTACACTGTTGAAGAAAGCACTAGTATCTATATTTGAATTACTAGGGTTGTAGACTTCTGTAAACCAGTCCAGATCAAAACAGGTTTGAATTCTGGACATCTCTCAAAACATAACAATCGGCATCCAAAACCTCAACAATTATCTATTTCAATCTATAAAACCTTACCGTACATACTTAAAATTAACACTTCTCAAAAGACTTTTAATGCTCATTCTTTTACATCTCTCATGTTACATAGAAGTAAACAACAAATGCAGGACAGTATCAAACAGTTTTTGAGCTTTCTTAACATGTCTACATGAATCTTATTTACCCTTTTCTTGGCAAAATTCCTTAATATAAATGTACAGGCTTGCATATTTGCCCTGAATACCAAGTTGCTGCATGGATTATGAAAGAAGTGTGTAGCCAAGCACACTACAGGGAAAAAACCAAACACCACAGCTACAGTATATAATGTAATACTTACTATTTATATGTTTCTGAACGAATGTATTCAAAAACATGAGATACTCCCAGCTGGAACTGGTCAGCAATAGGGGTAACCCAAGGATTGTTCTCTGCTTTGAAGACTTGCTTTTGACCAGTCAAATCCAAATTACCTGAGGGATTAAACAAAACAGCATATGAAAAGTACTTGAAACATGAAAAATTTGAAAGAAATACCATCTGTGAATATAAAAAGTTTTCATTCATTTCAGAGAGCATGGCCATAATAAAAGCAAGCATTTCAGTCTTAACACAGAGGAATAGGAGGACACAGTAGTTCCCACCATGACGAATGCAGTTCCACTCTATTATTTCAGTGCTGCTACACACTGCACAGCAGGGTTGAACTCCGCCCGCTGCATATTATATTTATTCATCAAGTTAGTTTTAAGCAGGACCTGATAGCGCATAGGTGTGGGCCCTCTCCACCATGATCTGCAGGAACAAATGGAGAATGATGCTCTGGTAGGATTCTCCTCTGCTTGGCATTGCAAAACATTTCTCAATCCCTGCTCCAAGCAAAACACCAACAAGCAATGCCCAACAGGCTTTTTGTCCTCTCAGTGCCAGCCTGTTGTCTGAACTGAGATCCCACCCAAATCTGTGATTAGAGTGCCATACACTCAGAAACACAAACAAAGAGCATCATTCTTGTAGCATGCCAGTTTTACCTATTCTGTTGACAGGAAGACTTAAGTGACCTATTAGGGGTTTGCTTGGGGTTTTTTGTTTGCTCGTTTTTTAAACGTTTACCACCCAACCCCAAAACAGTCCAAGCTCCACTGAAACTCCTCATGACTATGGATACAAAGGGCTGAATTCCAGGACACTCTACCCATTGAAATACTTTATGTTCTTTAAATTAAAATAAGAAATCTGTGGTACATTTTCAATTTATTTTTGTGAATTTTATGATGAAAAGAGGCCTACCCTCCCCCCAGAAATCTAAAATAACTAAAAAAACCAACTCTTTAACCATGGGGAACAAAACAAAACAAATTACAGGGTTTTGAAGACTGACTGAGCCAAACTGTTGGAGAAATCCAAAATCAACCTGATGCGCCAAGTTTCCAAAATGAAATGCCTGTGTAAGTGCAGGCAACGGGAGCTGCTGTGAGCCCTGTGATTGCTGCCCACGCCCGCTGCACGTTCTACATGACAGCTAATGCTTGGCGCGTTTCCCTCTGTAAAAGGGGTTAACAACAATTACAGACAGGCTATTATACTGTGTGAAAAGATGCCAAGCACCTCATACCGGCCTATCACCGAGTCACCATTACCTTAACAAGCTCATCTGCCAGCTGTCTGTGGCAGGTTGGTCTGAGCTCACAGCCCGTCAGTCAGGCGGCAGCCGCCGCGCTCCGCACGCTCCAGTGCGCCTCGTTAGGAGCCGCGCGCCCGTCTCCTTTATTAAAGGACGCGGCAGCACTGTTCTAACAAGGATCAGGAAAAAGGATTAAAGACTGTGACAAAGAGGACCTAATAAGCTAGAAAGCAGTGTATCTAAATCTGTGCTGGCTGAAGGTGCAGGCTGGTGCTGCTCACTATCCAGCTCTCAGGCGGCGGCTGCCGGGGAAGCCAGCCAGGATGGCGATTAGCCGTAACCCTCTGACCAGGGCTGCTGTGAAGATCATGTATCACTCAGGGTTTGCTTTGCAACTGTAAATTGGATTTCCCATTTTATTACCTGCAAAAAATCCCATACGTTGCTCTCCAAAACTACGAACACTGTAAGCATTCTGCAGGTACTGCATCAGGATAAAATGATCAATCTGTGTACAACTAATAAAAACAATTAAATCTGGGGAGGCAAGCTTGGCTCCATCATGGGTCAAGTTCAATGCCACCTATAGGACTAAGTCACATGTTCCCAGAATCTCAATAGGTCTTGGCTGAATCCTCTCGACCCGAGCTGTGTCAGAAATTTACCATCCAGGGAAGGTTGCCACACATTTCCATTCCCACAGTGCAGCGTGCTCATTTCATTTCTAACACCCGTTTAATACCAGTATGGCCTGTTTAAATGTAATTAATTGTAATAATTACTACTCTACTACGGTTGAAGAAATCTTACAGCAAATCCAGGACTGCTCAAGTAAAATGACCTGTAGGTCCCCATGTCAATGTAATTGCTTTATTTTCCTCTGTCTTCTGTTTTTCCCAAAACACACTGGAGGCAGGTGCAAATATTACTTTTTACCTTCAGAGGGAAGAGGAAGGCAGAGACCCTAATTAATCTAATTACAGAGGAAAAGGGGCACACAAAAGTTCAGCATCCGCACTGAAATCCACCCCTCCTTGCCAAGGACGTCCTTCTGGGAGTCCTGCCAGCAGCAGCTGGCCTGGCAGCCCATCCCACCGGCCACCTAGAGCTGGAGCGAGAGCCCAGGGATTTTAAGTGAAGAATTTAATCAAGTGCAGTGGTGAGAAAAGGAACAATTTGTCTGTCCTCATGGCAAGCACCAGGCAGAGAGTGGGTGCTTCTCCGCAGGTGAGTGGGCTTCCTCACAGAAGGCAGGAAGGACAGGGCAACTGATGCTTTAAAATCCTCCCCGTTCAATAACAAAATTTCCATATAGAAATGAAGGACAGAATTGGACAGAAATTAAACAGAAGTTACAGAGAGACTGCCCCACCTCATCAGCACTAGGGAAGAAATGGCGTCTAACACTCCAGCCACAAGGCAAGCCACTTGAGCACAAAGAGGCCGCATAATTAAAACTGAGACAGAAGGGAAATGCATCACTCCTGCACCGTACATTGCTTGGGCCCATATCCTGCTGTCCTTTCTGGGTGTACCTAATTCTGCTCTGGCTGCAGGACATCCAGCAGTCCCAAGCACAAGGCCAAAGACTCAGTAACATCTCAGGAACAGTACATGCAGGGGTAACCAAACACAGGAGCGCTGCACAGACTCTTCTGCTGCAGTGCATCAAGACAAACCCAAGGGCATGGAAGAGATGCTCACACCCAGCTGAAGCAATGGCTCTGGTACCAGGGTCACCACAGTAGAGCTGTGCAACTGGACATCTTATAGATGTGTCCCTGTCCCTCCCATCCCCAATAGTCTCCTTGCCTAGATGATTTTTTTATGGTAGCACCATGTTAGGAAATGCTATTACTCCATCCCTGCAGCACTAGAGCCATTCACCAGGGAAAAAGCTATGGCAGATGCGCCTTCATGCATATTGTCTAACAGCAGCATCAGCAGAACACCATCCCCAGGGCTTTAGGAAATTTATATACTGTTCTGCTACACAGATCACATCAAATCCCTCAGATATTTTTAGTAAGCAAAATACAAAATTGCCTCTAGTAAAAACCCAGCACTGAAGATTCAATCACAAAACATATTAGGGTTGGAGATTGCATTGGTCATTGCTGTTTTGTTCTTTTCATGCACATCAGCCTATTAAAAAATATTTATCATCTCTAAAATTCGGCCTAACTTGTTGACTAAAATTGTATTTCTTCATTGTGGACTTAAGGTTCTTTATATTCTGCCTTACTGAAGGAGATCGGCTCCACCGAAATGCATCACAATCATATGCCTCTGGTAAGAGAGGAACAGCCAGTTATCTTCAAGACTAGTCAGCACAGCCCCCTTCCTAGATCACATAAAAGTTTTTCACATTATTTTTGAGTGCTTCTAAAACTATTCTAATAAATGATCAAAGCTACACATTCCAGAACCCACGTCTAACATGCTTAAAGAATATTCAAGTCCTGAGTCTGAGGGATACTTTTTTTACACTTTCTACTTTGACTAAACATAGATTTCCAAATAGAAAGAATGCAAAGTGGACATATGCTGCTACCAGCAAGCAGACACTGATAAGAGAACAGTCTGGAAAGAGAAGAGCAGATACCTAACAGCTGACTGCTGTGCATGACCGGCACAGAATGACCAAAAGCCTTCTAAAAGGAGTAGCCAGCTGTGTGATCTTAAAAATGCCTGATCTTGGCATTTTTATTCCTGTCTCAGCACTCGTATCTAAAGATGATCCTGAATCCTTAAGTTTGATTGGATCAGTGTGACAATTTCTGTGTTTAACCCACCTTAAAACCAAATTGCTCCTAATGCCCAACTACTAAGCTGTGCAGACCTGAAAACTGTCTGCTGCCTGAACCTCTTATTGGCTGCCACCTTGGAGCTACAGTAAATAGATCTACACCAGAACTCTTGAAAATTCAAGGGCAAAATCAAAGTATGCATATTTTTAATTTTAATGTATTCTAACTTAAACCATCCATTGACTAAAAGTACCATTTATCCCTGCTTACATTCAGAGCTTCCACCACCATGAGTGGATAGAAGGCACATCTCATATGACAATGAGCACACCCCATCCTGACTGACATTAAAAGGAAAAGAAGGCAGCTACCGTTTTCCTGCACCTGTCTCAATGAATCTATCCTGCATTTGAGCTAAAACATGATCATTAATGTGTCTTGTTATTTTTCCTTCAGTGCTGTTGAAATAAAGAGTGGTTTGTGTGAACATTCGTGTTTTGCTCAACTGCCTGCAAAGGTCAGAAAAGAGCTCAAAATAGAAAATAAAATGATGCCTCCCACAGTTGTGTTTGCAGACAGTGTCAGAGCCAGTGATAACACCAATCACTTTGACCAAAGGTATCTCCAGACTTCCCAGGCTCCTCCTGTCCATTAGATTCAGCCTGTAAGCGCCTCTTACATACAACTGGAAGCCCATCATCCTCTTGTGATGTATGATGTGTGCAATGTTTACTCCATGTATGTATACTTGATGTACAGTAAGGTATGACTAGGGTACATGGGCATTACTTAAACACAAGAAAACAGAGTGAACGCAAACCTGGCTTGTCCTTTCCACTCCAACACCCCTTGGCAACACTTTAAATACTTTCAAAAATTAAAAGGTGAAATTAAGTAATTAAACAACTCTGACATTTGAGAACTGAACATTGGCATTCAACATAAGAAACACGATCCTAGCTGTAAAATGCCAGATCAACGCTTCTTTGTAATGGTTTAAATTCATCCCCAGTGGAGCTTCATTAAAATCAATGGAAATCATTTTTAGCCTGTATACTGTTGAGTTTCACATCTGTGTCCCATTGATACTCTGACTCAC